TTTAATTGCTCCTAAACCTGTCTGTCGCCCGAGGCGAACTTTTGACTGGTTTGAACCCCACAACGATTTATGTTTGTGATTATAACGAGAAGTACTTAACAGAAGCTTACTTCTATGGGATTATTACTGAAAAGAGAATATCTTTAACATACGTGTATATATTAGACACTAATAAAAGAATGTCAAAGGAACAATTACTCAACTTATAATACGAAGAATAAGAAATAATCGTTTTAGAGTTTTATTTAATTTCGCCATTCATTGGCTCGATCTTGAATCCTTCTTAAAACTCTGCAGTTTCGTTCAATGGCACAGTTCCTTTCTGCAAAAAGTAATTAAATGCGCTCTTTTATATGTTGTCTATTCCTCCATCTCTGTTACTCTCTCCCCTCGCATCCTACGTATCCTTCGTTTAAGAGCAAAAGTGTACAAATACAAGCGACGGCAACGACTCTTTCAGGCTCATTCCCAAAATTCGATGACGCCGCGTGTGTTTTAGCACCCAGACGGAATAGGCTCGAAATCGTGAATAGACTTCGCCAGAAGGGCACTTGAAACTTTGGGGTAGGGAATAAGGAGTGCAGAGAAATATAGGCAGGCTGTAAAATGGCTTTCAGTGTGCGTTCTGAGTTCTGCCTCCTGCCTCATGCTCCTTGTGTGTGTGTGTGTTTGCACTCTCGTTTCAATTCCAATTCCGTTTGCATATTTGCAACAAATTAAAGTGCTCTCGGGCCTTAAAAATGCTAGTAAATGCTGTATGTGGTGAGTGCTTATAAAGGGCATATGGCAAGCTCTATAAAAACTTTACGCGTATAATATTCCCCTTTGGGATGACGCTTTATGGCGGGTCCTGCAGCGTGTGCAATTAAAAGAAAGGTGGAGTCTGAGGGTTCTCTCTGTGTGGCTGGCTCTCCTTTGTGGCGTCAATCAAAAATCAAAGGTGCAGTGATAATATAATAAGCTCCCAGCCTGTAGCCCTCACCCCTTGGCGCCTTGGTTGCATGCAACACATTTTTCTGTGAAACAAAAGCAGGAGCGGGAGCAAGAACGGGAGGAGGATGTGCATGTGGATGAGGCACTGATGAGATTCCTTTGACTGCGAGATATTGTGAGCTCATCCCATCCCATCCACCGCCAACCACCGTCGTCCGCGAAATGCAAAAGAAAAACTCTGAAAAGCAGCTGCCAACGCGACCAGGCTGAGTGATGTGGCAACAATTTTTTATGCGTTTGCAGCAGAACCGAACCGAACAGAAGCTACAGTGAGCTCTCGCTAGGGATGCTGAGCAAATGAAGCACGTGGAGAGCAGATTGTGCGTAGAAGTACACTTCACTTGCGATGTGTACTATAACTCCTTTGAGATTGGGCTTTGCTTCTCCCAAAGAATTCTCCCAAACCCTCACTGTATCTGTTTCTGCCTGCACCAATTTGTATGCATCATCTTCAGAGCTCTCAAAAGCGAAAAATTAAAATCTTAGCAGAGCAAATTGTGCGCGAAAGAACGGGTTAAGAGGCAGCGGTGGGGACAGAGACATGGGCAGGGGAAGAGGATAGAAACGGCTAACACAGATGAAAAGTTCAGGGTCTAATTGAAGAGCCCGCAGTTGAAGTTTGTGCCTCAAAGGGGATAGGCGGGGATGATAAATGAATGATTTGTGTGCCGGAAAAGTGTGTAGTAATTAGCATATTATGCAGATTAACGAAACCAGCAGAAAAAATGACCAGAAAAATACTGCCTGTCCATGGATGTCTGCGGAAAAGAGGTCTGATAGATAACCATGGGAGAGGTGCTGTCTGGGGCGGCTGTCAGTAAGTTGAGTTTGTGTTTTCCATTAACATGCAGCACGCTCCATTTGATCAGCCCCTCATGCTAGGCCATGGTCTACGTTCTGTGTGCGTTTCCCTCTCTTGGATAATACTTAATAATTGCTTTGTTGTAATTAAAACTTTTCGTCAATGTTTGCACTGAGGATAGCCGCCGAGCAAAGAAAGGATTGGGTAAATACGAGTGCGAATGGTGCCAGCAGCCAGAGATGTTTTTCCGTAACCCTTTCGTTTGGTACGTTTCCTTTCCTTTCCATTCCCCTCCACGATGCCATTGACAAGCCACAACATAGAGCTGACAGAATAAGCCAGCAAATACCCCCATAGTGAAGGGGTGAAGCTTCCAGCACTTGCTAATTTGTATCTGTGTTGCGGTTGAGTGAACAGAATGGAGCCCAAGTCCAGCCAAACCCCAAACCAAACCGTACCAAATGGGATGGAGCTGAACCGAGCTGATCTGAGCTCAGTGACTAAGGCACGTACTGCGAGCTGAGAGCTGAGAGCTGTATTTGGTCTCAGCTTTTGCATTGGTGGACCTATTATTATGCAAAACGCAGCCACAAGCTTGCCTTTTCTTTTCTTTATTTTGCTGTCCGTTTTTCATTTATTTTTTTGGGTTTTCTCTTAAAATAATTTTCATCACGCCCGCTGATTGATTGATTGGTAGATGGATGTCCCCAGCCCCGCCGGATTTTGGGCGGCCATTCAATTAAATGAATATATTAAAATTTATTTGCTAGGAAAGAGCTTGTATGTAAATTTTTTCCACTTGATGGAATGTTCATGAATGCACTTCAATTCTGATTGTGGAGGGCCTTTCGAGCACTTCTGATCGGTTAAAGCTTTTAATGAGCTTAGCGGAATAATTAGCTGCCATTTGTGTGGGCCCAACGAGGCGTATGAGTGATTTGCGCAGCAAAAGGTGGTCTATGGATTCCGTAAAATCAAGACAAATGGCTATATAGTTGAGTGGTTCGATAGAAATTATGCTTTCCTCATTGTGTTTGGCTTACAAATGGCTAGAAAAACATATTGATTTCATTTGTTTGGCTATGGCAGCGGGACGTAGTAATATTATGGGATAGATTTGGATATTTATTGACGGAACGATTGAGGCTTACTGGAAAATCGCCCACCCAATGCGAATACGAATACAAATCGCTATCCATTCGTTAAATCACCAAGAACCGTATCGGCAAGGAAAACACACCCAATATTAATGCAGATGAGCCCCACGGACAACAACAACTTGCAACTTAATTTGTATATTTAATTATTTTTCAATTAGCATTTTAATTGATTTATGCGACAGCGTCATTTCCATTCCGCTCCCGTAGCGGTCTGGAGCCGGACCTTAATGTGTCATTGATTTTGGTCGCCAAACATCTTCAGAGGCCATGGTAAATCATTGCCAATTTAATTGAAAAGATTAAACATTAAAATATCAATATTTCATTGATTACATGCGGTCCGGTTTAACTGCATTAATTTTGATGGGCATATACGATAAAGGTTTTTCATCTTACTTTTTTGTGTATTTTATTTATTGCCGGTCTGCTGCTGTCGAAGGTAAATAAAATGTCGCTCCCCTGCCACTCGCACTCGCATGACAAGCACAACTCGCGTAAATCAGATGGAGACGGGTGGTTCGGTTCTATAGATAGACTTATCTGATGGGACAAATGCCCAGCCCATGGGATGTGATACATGTCGCTCTATTGCTGCCTAACAGGTTAGTGATTGATTGCCACTTTTCTGCCAAGATTTGCTCAATGACTAAACAAAGATAATATAATAATTAATTGTAGCTCTGAATATCTTACTTAATGCCTAGCACTTCTAATTGATTGGTTTAATTGTATTGAGATTGAAATGGAATTTATTTGTTAGTGGTTTCTGTTACTAGGCAATCTCATCCCATTTAAGGGCACCGAAGATTCGCCCTTATTGAAGCGAAATTCTTTACCCCACGAAAACAGCACACCAAACAAAAAAAATATTATATAAATAAACATGTACTCGTAAATATACAAATAAATTGAAACAACAAGCTTAAAGAGTTGCCAGCCGCTGTGACAGACAGACAGTCAGGGAGACACACAAACATGTGAATTATTAAAAATGCTTTTAGAGCTGTTCGAGCAGCCCTAAAGCCTAAACGTTGACTTTTCCGGGACCTCAGACCGCCACCAAAATGTGGGTTAAGTGCAGCACATACATAAACATGTACATATGTTTGTGTGTGTGTTAAAGTCTTATTGAAATTTTCATGAGGCGGTGGTCCGAGCAGATAATGTGCCAGGCCTTTTGATTAGATTTTATGTAAATACTTTCTTAGAACGCCGGCCCCAAGATTGTGTGAAGGAACAAGAAAGAGCAACCACAGACCGGAAAAAATTAAATAAATATATAATCATGCGGGTGCCCCAGAAGTATGCCGCGCTTTTCAAATTGGTATAAATGCGGCACGCAGTGGGACAGAGGCCTGGGGGACTAGGGCCTCGGGAGGAGGTGTCGCCGAGAATGTCTGGTTAGGCGAAACGGAGAAACCTTTATGAGGATGCCGCGATTGTGCAACGAATGTTGCTTAAAAGCCGACTGATGAAATAAAATAATAATCATGATGCTGTTGAAAGACGAGTCGGCAGTCCCTTGGCTGTTGGCCCAGCGCTGGCCCGCCCGACCAAGTTATTCCACCTGAAGGAGCAGCCTTGTCGCGAAGCAAGAAGTTTTTTTAGGCGCCCGCACTTGGGGGAGCTGTGCCGTTTAATTAATTAAAGGTGTTCAAATAAAATACAGAGTCGCACTTGCCAAATTTGTTGCCTTTTCCCATTACACACATGTACAAGAATGGGTGTGACTGTGGGGGCTTGGGTGTATGCATGCACTGTACATTCATATGTGTGTTCCTTTTCCTTTCAAAAGGCGAGGAAATCGTACCCCAGAAGAAAGCGTATTAAGGAAGTACGAAATTTAAGTTCTTTATCAGCCTAAGGTGTGAGAGCAATAATTTGTTTTATTATCTGTTAGTCCATTTCATTCATTATACCTCAAAAATCCTAATGAATCCTAATGAATATTTTCTTATATTTTATATTCTTTAGTTTATTGTTTATTAATGTCTCTCAACATTGGTCAGTGCATGCAATATTCGTTCTTGAAGCGATGTTCTTACCTGCTGGTACTATTACCAATTATATATTATTGTGGGTGAGCCTTGCGGCTTTCTTTGACTCTGTTTGCCACTGCCACAACACTCTGCCACACTCTGCACCACAGCCCTTGGGCCCTGGTTCTGGTCTATGGTTCGAGTTGTTTGCTTTGAGCTGCAATTTCCATGCACATTTTGTCGGACATTTCATTTGATTATGCTTGGCTGGTATTTGAAATTCATAATTGTTTGCAATTTATTTATTCCACGAGAATGAATTCTGTTAATTGGTTTACACTTGGGTATGAGGGGTGCCTGGGAAATGTTTTCGAAGATTTTTTCGCTTTTTTTTTTGTATTCACGACAACTTTTTGCACAGAAAACTTTACCCGCTATCGTTATTATTTGCGTAAATAAAATGATTCGAAGATCAGTCCAAAGTCGATTCGAAATTAATTCACGTTGAATTGGGAAATTGTCACTTGAACTTTAGCGGCGTATTCTCAGCGTGCAGTGAGTTGTTAGGGCATCCCCATCAGCCAGAAATACGAGAGTCGCGGAAGAATACCTATTTATAGCGCTGCCACTCGCGTCCACACCCAACGACGATTCAAACAGAACAGAACGGAACGGCACTGCTGCTCGGCGTCCAATGCCGTCCTTAAACTTCACGAGCTTTGGTCGGCAACGCACAGTGGCGTCTTGGCCGAAAACTCTTTCTAAATACCAGACTTCGGGTTGTTGAATGTGGCTGGGCAGAATCTTAATCGTATGCCTAATTCTTCAAAGTTTGCCCTGGCCCTTGTCTGTGCACTGCCTTTTCCTGATACGCGCGATATAAGTTCAAGAGTTGTGATTTTTGCTGCGTGTTTCGAGTAAAACGAGCCACTGTGCGCCATGGGTCGTGCGAGCCACTGTGCGTCGCTCGTGTGCTCGCTTCGTGTTCGGCGTCGGTTAAGCAGTTCATGATGGTACCGCTCTCTTTTCATTCACACACTCTCTCGCTCTCTCTTCGTTGCCAAACTGTTGATTCCTCCTCAAATTGAAAATTCCATTTGCTAGTTTTCGGTTTTTATTTCCAATGCTGGGGAATTTCTAGATAGTAATTGCTTCTCCTCATAGACACAGCACCGTAAAGAGAGTGGGGGGAGTCTGAGTTGGAGTGGGAAGGAGTGTGACAATTCACATTATACATTCATAGGAGTATGATGATGGGGAGGGGCACAACTGGGAGTTCTTGCTGTTATTCCCTCGTTCTTTTATGGCAATGAGTTAACAATAATTTGTAGCTGCGTTTGGATGCTCTGTGTGCAGGCAGGAAACTCAATTATCTGGGAGCATGAGAATGAAAAAGATGAGAAATACGAGCACTTCAAAACTGTAATGCATGTACATAGTACATACTCCCATATGTACGGGTAAACCCTTGTCCAGCCGGATATAATCTAACTCTCAGTCTTTGCCTCTCTACTGCTGCTGTCTCCTGTCGGCATTCCTTCTGACTTGCTCCGTCCAGCCGCTCGCTGCCTTTGCCTCTTTGGTGTCAATTAAAGTTTTAACAGTTGCATGTCACAGCAAATTAACGTGGCAACAACAGCACATGCACACACACACACACACACACACAGTCGCACAAATAAATGGCAAAATGTGGCAAGGTCCTGTCCAAATTATAGACCCAAGTGCTAGCAAAAATACAGATACAGTGAAACGGGGTTGGATGGAACACAACTTTTAAACAATTTCTCCCCAAAGAGAGTATTGGAGATAGTTGGTAGCAGAAGTCTCTCAGTGACTATCCACATTCCACTGTGGCAGGTGCTGGGGTAGCCCCCCAAGGACAGTTTTTCTTCATGAACATTGGCACATGGTAACACATAACTTGACCAAAACACATTTAAGTGTGATATGTGAATTGCTGCTTGCAACCCGAACACAGACACGGACACAACAATTCTACTCCTTCTTCAGAGAATTTGTTCACCTCAAAACGCACACAAATTGTTGTCTGTCTCCGTCTGTGCCTCTGTGGTTAGGAAGTGGGTCACTTACAGAAATCTACATATTTCATTCCATTGAACACATCAAAGCAAATCGAAACCGGACAACAAATTGGGCAGTTCTCCTTGCCAATATATTTGTACCATTTTGCTGTTGTTGTTGTCCACAGTTTTTTCAATCAATCCTTTCGGTTATTAACGGTTCAGTGGCCTGGTGTATTGGAAAAGATTTTGTCACCAACCCGGAAACAATTCTTCTGTAATTCGATCCGAGGAATATCTCGAGTTATTTCATATTTAACTTCATGTCTATCAACCCCGCACAAAATGAATTTATCTTCCAGCTGAAATGTGCAAAAATACAGGCAACAGAAAAATATTCAAACATATATGTACAAGTGTGTATGAAAATTGAGGGAAATCGAAATTGAAAAGTTGCAAATGACAATGGCTGCGATCGATATAAATTATTCGAATACATATACATATGCATATGCATTCTATATCTCTGGTACATTGTTGTGCACATCCGATTGGGGATTCTGTAGTTGCTGGTTTTATGTTTTTGTTTGTTTGTGTTTATGGCACAAATGAATTGGCATCTTTCGCATGCTTTTGGTCCCATGCCCACGCTCTTTTTGCTGCTCTTTTTCCCTGCATAATCGCCAGAGATACTATTCGGTGTTTTGGCTTTGCCATTCTGTGTCTGTTTCTGTGTGTGTCTCTGTGTTTGGGTCTCTTTGAGTGTGTTGCTGCTGATTCCCTTTGTGTGTGTGTGTGCCTTACTGATGCATTGAACCAGAAATACGTAGATATGCCAATGAGTTTTCCTTCCTTTTTTGTTGCTGTGCCATTTGTTGCTCCCACAGGGGAGTACGCCTAAAAGTATGGCACGATTTTTGCCATCTGCAGTGAAGCCTCTCCAGTGGGATTACAGTTCCTATGGGAGTCAAGTGTGTTTGTTCAGAAGGAGCTTGCCTAAAAGGCTCCTCCTGTTGCTCTATTTAATTATTTAGTTTTCCTGTTTTCTGCCAGAATATTATCCTATTAGCTATACAATCAATAGGAGTTCCAACCCACAAGTGGATATTGATTTTCCCAGGCACAGGTTTCCGGACCTAACTCAACCAATAGCAGGTGAAATTTCCGACAAAGGTCAACTGCCATTCAAAAGTCCACGGAGGGTTAATCATTTTTAAAATTTCCCAGAAATTAATTATCCTAAAAATGGGATGACCACCAGTACCACCAGCCATTGTTCTAGAGGCTCAGAGATAATGAAATTGTCATTGTTTCATTTTTAAAATGGATCCTAAAGTCACTCAAACGCGTGGGTCAATTACTTAGCGGAGTTTTATTTTTGTTTCCATTCATCCAAATGTTACAGGAGGCCGGTCAGGTTTTTACAAAGCCCCCAAGCAAATGAGGAAATGCCTTAACATACAAATCTTGATTTCATTTGATGAATGAATGGACCAAAGGAATTTAAGCTCCAGTCCAAGACCGGCTCCTGGCTGGCATGGCTGGGAAATCCAATAAAAGATTAGCCAAAGCCACAAAAATGCGAAGCCGCGCCTTATTTTAATTATGCGAACACAGATTTCTTTTCTTTTCTTTTCTTTCGGGCATTCCATTTGCTCGGAAGATGCTGAGCCGGCTGACGAGGCAGTTGGCCCAAAAGGAATGCCATTCGGCCAGAATGCAATAAAACAATTTAATTAAATTTTATGTGAGCCAAGTGAAAGTAAATGAAAACAAATAAACCACAATTTACTTCCGACAGATGGCACATGTGAACTCCTCTCTCTCTCTCACTCTGGGCCGGCTCCATATTCTGTTCCATATCCATGTGGCAATTATGAGCCTAATGGTGTGGCCTTCGTTTCTTTATTCCGTTTCCATTTTGCCACAAACTGTCACACATCATCAGAGCAGAGAAGATGAACAGACTTGCAGACCCAACCTGACCCAACCTGACCCGATCATTTGGGCATTTAAAAACTTTGGCTTTAAGCAACTGTTTGCCAAATATTTCATTCTGTTCCGCTCTCTGACTCTCCCTCTCCGGGGCTTCCTATGTGTGTGTGTGTGTGATTTATGCATGTGTTTAAAATGCTTTGCTTGTGCATAAATCGCCGACAAAGTTTCGGCTGGCTCCTTCTGGTCCTTCGGTCCGAGGTATGTCCCAGCTACTTTGTCTGGGTTATCCATCCGGAGTCCGGGCTGCGTGCCTCCTCTTGGCCTCATTGACCACTCTTATGTTTGTGCTTAGGTTCCGGCCTAGGAATTTCCTTTGTTTGCTGATTGAAATTGACTTTCAGGCGGCGAAGACAAGGCGCCAGTTGGCCTACTAACTGACCAAAAGAGCTACAACCAAATGTGGCAAGGAATGCTGCCTCTTGTCGGTTCATTGCAAAGGTCACGATGAGCGATTTAGGGGGATGTCCAATCGATTTGTGTGTGGCTATAATCCATTATATGCCTTAATATTGGACTTGCCTTCCTTCATTCTGATATATTGACAGCTTTGAAGGCACACAATTTGAATAAATTTCATTCTAGGGTCCGCTTTTAAAGTAAACTTTGATGGGGAAAGACATTTTTATAGTTTCTGCTTTCTTAAAGGTTTTTTTTCCAAGGATTTTGAGAAACATGAAAGACTCTTTTAACTGCATTTTTATCTGCATTCACATCTTGATTTTCCGTACTTTTGGCCAATGAATTCTAATGTCCATGTCCTTCAAGCGCGAGTCTATCTGTCGATGGACAGCTCATGCAAATGCTTGGCAGTGACGACTTCGACTTCAATTAGTTGTAAATACAAGCTCTTGACCAATGCTCGACCATGATTATGGAGGAATAACAAGCATACGCCAGATGGGGATCTGGATACGTCAGCATGGAAATGAGGCCTGCACTTGCAGGATGTTTTTGAATGTGGACTGAGATTGGAAGTGGGCCCATCCAGAGAGGGACTCTCAAACAAAGCCAATTAGCAAAGACAACAGCAAGCAATTGAAGTGGAGATGTCCAGAATGAGAGGAGGAGTCTCCTGGCAACTAATCTCTGAGCTTCTCGCGTGCCCAATAACACTACTGTGGGACATGACAGGCACGTAGGAAGAAAGTGCGAGTGGAAGCTGAGAGAGAAAGTGTGATGGAGGAGCAAAAAAATGCCAGTGAGTTAGTCCTGATTTAGATGCGTGCGTCACGTTCTTGGAGCTGCTTTTACTTTATTTACCTTGATTCGTTCCTTGGCTTAGTGATAACACTGGGAAAGAGAAAGAGAACAAAAAAGGTTGTAATCCTTTGTCACCTGGAATTTCTCTCTTCCCTGAGCCTCTAACTTCATAATGGAAGCAGTCTCCTGAGTGTTTTACATATATCAGTGTGAACAGGGTAAATTATTTACATAACTCCTGCGAACATCCATGTCCAAATGGTTTTGTCAAGCTTCAAGCACTATAACGTTTCGGCTCTTTAACTTAATTAGCTCCAGCACAGGGCCGAAGCAGTTTGTTAATACACCGAGATCCGCCGAGACATGAAGATCTCTCCAACTAATGTCTGCCTCTTTGGACTGCTACTGTTGATTTTCTGCTGCAGCTTGGAGGCTCAGATTCAGGAC